AAAAAAAAAAAAGAAATTGAATTCCAGGCTCAGCTCTGCTACAAACTCAATAGATGACTTGTAGCAATTTTGATCCTCAGTTTTCCCAATTGTAAAATAAGACTACTTCTACTTTCAGTATTTTATTTTCAGTAATATAACTGTGTATGGAAAAAGTCCTAGTTAGCACAAGAAAAGGAAACTTCTTAAAGTGAATAGCAACTTAAAAATTTTCCCCTGGGTTTGTTTAGAAAATTCACTTTTTGGCTAGTTTAACCGTCCTTAAGAAACAGAACATTTTTTCTTAAAATTTCTTCTCTTTTATATAATGAATATTCTTCATCACTAGCATTATCTATTAATGACAACAGTCCATTTGCTGCCAGTGAATCTCTTTAACAACGGCTCATAATTTAAATCCATCACCTGCTGTGAATGCTCCAAGTAAACACTGATTTGTGGGTTTATAAATCACATGGCTGTGTAGATTAAATTGATTCAGCCTGTTCCTTGTCTACATTGCTTTTACGCTATTGTTTTAAATGCCTAGACTACCATAGTCACCCAATTGGCATTTTAAAGTCACTGAATGAAGAACTATCAAGCATTTCACTTTTAACTTGAAATTTTTAAAAAAGAAAATGAAGTCCCAAATGTATGTATGTATATGTATGGATTTATGTAGTATATATGTATGAGTGTGTGTGTATATGAATCATAGTTTTTTAGAATTATTTATATGTAAAAATGATAGTCTTCCCTTGCATAAATCAGGTGATACAACAAGATTAAAAACCGATGGAAAGTCCTACTGAATTATCTGTTTGGTAACATATAAAGAGAACACCCTTGTCCACAAAATAAATGTCTTGGTATAATCCTATAGAAATTGGTAGTTTGGGCCAGGAGTGGTGGCTCACACCTGTAATCCCAGCACTTTGAGAAGCCAAGGTGGGAAGATCACTTAAGCCCAGTAGTTTGAGACCAGCCTGGTCAACATTGTGAAAACCCTGTCTCTACTAAAAATAAAAAAATTGGCTAGGTGTGGTGGCCTGTGCCTATAGTCCCAGTTACTTGGTAGGCTGAGATGGGAGGATCACCTGAGTTCAGGAGGTGGAGGTTGCAGTGAACTAAGATCGCATCACTGCATCCCAGTGTGGCTGGAAGACCCTGCCTCAGGAAAAAAAAAAAAAAAAAAAAAAAAAAAACAGACAAGAAAAAGAAAAGAGGTGTATGAGTAGAAACACATATAGCAATAGCCATTTTGTTTAGAGGTTCTTAAACAAGTGTGCTTCTTTTTGGAGTGTGTTTCTAGGTTCCCCAAAATTGTAGGGATGTGCTGTATGTCATACTAAGCATTTTAATCAGATTCTCAAAAGGATACACTGTCCAAAAATTAATAAAATGATACATTTTAGTCTATGTATGAGAAGTAATTTGACTCAGTCACACCATTAGCCTGCAACAATATTGATAGTTCCAGAACTCAAATTCCCAAGGCTTCTCATGCTAGGGTGCACTCAAATGCTAAATCTTTTTTTTTTTTTTTTTTTTTGAGTCAGAGTCTCCTTGCCAAGGTTGGAGTGCATTGGTGCGATCTCGGCTCACTGTAACCTCCGTCTCGCCTCCCCAGTTCAAGTGATT